TGGTTTTAAATTCTATAAAAAGCAAACGAAGTCCGAAAATCATGAAACGTGTCAAGATTCTTCGGTTTGCAAGCATCGTACGTGACAACTTGCGCGAAACCTTCTCAAATTTTTATCACAGCCTCCACATATGATATCATGACATCTTGACAAGTTTCATGATTTTCGGACTTCATTTGCTTTTTATAGAATTTAAAAACAACTCGGCCGCGAGTTCGTGGTCATGTTTCGTGAATAAGATATTCGAAATTGGTGGTCTAGTCCTGGATACGGCCTCACATTATACTAAATAACATGAATATCATTTTTCCATTCATTTTTTTTCATTATTCGAATGAATAGTAGTTATAATTTGAATTATCCAAGAAAATTCAATTAAATGAAATAAATTAAAGAAATATAGAAAAAGTCCGAGAAATGTGCCACATTGGAACATGGAGCACCAGGTATTGTACGAGGACTGCAGAAAAAGTTTGAGGTCAAAAGTGAAAAAAATATATGGTTTGCCGAGTGTCATAAAATGACATTCGGCAAATCACCGCTTTGCCGAGTGTCAAAAAAATGACAGTCGGCAAATGACCACTTTGCCGAGTGTTAGAAGAAGACACTCGGCAAAAGGGTTAACGGCGGCTGCCGGCCGTTAACGGTGGGGGTCCTTTGCCGAGTGTCAGGAGAATAACACTCGGCAAAGCCAGTTTTGCCGAGTGTTATGGTGTGCCGAGTGCTCGGCACTCGGCAAACCACCTCTTTGCCGAGTGTCAGTTGTTTGCCGAGTGCTTTATCTCTGGCACTCGGTAAACAGCCTCTTTGCCGAGTGCCCGATAAAAAACACTCGGCAAAGTGTGGGACACTCGGCAAAGAAGCCTTCTCCGGTAGTGAATGTATGAAGGATAAATAAGAGCAACATAATTACAATATTTTTTTACAAAACCATCGATATAATGATTATATTATATATTAGAAAAAAAATATTGCACATATATATTAGGAATAGACCCCCAATTTTCACTCGCCCCAGACCACCATAATGCCAGGGCCGACCCTGATTCTATGAAGCACATTTCATCAGACATCAAGTTCTGTGATCAAGGAACAATTCTACTAATCCCAAACAGCCTAACAAGCTTCAATTTACAAGATCAAGTGATTAATCAATAACGCGCACGAGCTGGGCAGGATTGCGCTCGTCGACCAACGGTCATCGTACGTTTGCCGAATCCCACGGAGGCTGCGCTCTCCGGCAGCGGCGGCGGCGCACGACACCACCTACCGAACGACCGCGATGGCCGGAACAGCTGCTTCCTCAGGCGGCTTGCAACGAGATGCCCGCTGCCGCCATGGCCTCTCCGGTGGCCTGGAATGAACGGATCTCTTGAGCGAGATTTTCTTGAACCGCGCGCACTGGATCCTCGCCCTCAGGGTTGGAGACGGCAGCGCCCGTACAACGCTGCTGGAGAAGTCGCCTCGGCCTCGGGCAACGGGACTTCCCCGTCGTCTCACGAGACGACGCCGACCCCGTCTCCTCGTATCGGTGGGGTGCTTTTTGCAAAATATACATCGTAGAGACGGCTTCTGAAGACCCGTTGTACATGCCCTAGGCTTAGAATATGCCCAGTTTAAAGATCGTTCTCACCCTCTTTATAAGATTCATGGAGCCGTTCAGCAGTTACTGCAAGGAGGAGGCATTGTTTTTTCTGCACTGCAAGAAGAATTATGGTGAGGAAGAGGAAGAGAAATTATACACCTTTTGTTTTCTCCACGGACGGAATTCTGAGGGCATGCAACGGCAATGCCTATTCGGCTGCATGGTCTATTTTAATGCAAAGCTACAGCGTCGGTTCATTGGATGGCAGTTCGAGATTTGGCAATAATGTTGCCTGTTTCTGTTACTTGGCACACGGCCAATGCATTCTTGACGTAGGAAGGTGAAGGGACTACCGACTACGCATGGATGAACGGATGTGGCTTGGAGTTAATGATGACGTGGTTGCACCAAAGAAGAGAGAAATCAGAGTTAATGATGTGGGACTTCTGGATGACGTGGCTTCACGAAATCGTAGAGAAATATGTTAGTGGGATTTTGTTTTATAAGAGTATAAGATTCCTTCATGATCAGCACAAGAAGAATGAAGCATAGACTCAAAGAGCACCATGTTCTTAATTTTATATGCTTCACTTGAGAGATCATCTAGTTCTTGGTCATAAACTGGTGGGATGCAATAGCACCATCGCTTGAACGTACTATACGAATCAACAATTCCATGACCACACTGATTGCAACAATCATAATAAAAAAAGTTCTCTCTTTGATGCGGACTATCAACATCATGACTAACAACTTGGAAAGGAGTAGCATAAAAAAGAGCAGGATCATGACGAGCAACAAGGTGACCACAAAAATCACGGGTGGTAGCATCATGACAACCAACCTTTTGATGAAGTCCTTCGTGATCTTCTTGTTCTTCATCATATATTGGTGGAACACAGTAACACCACTTCTTGAACATACCATATGAATCAGTAACTCCAAGACTGCATTGCTTGCAGCAATCATAACCAAAAGGGCTCTCCATCTCTTGATGAAGTGCTTCACGACCAGTAGCTTCAAGACACCCCATGTGTTCTTCAATTTGATGAAGTCCCAGGCCTTCGAGGATCACATCATGGTGATCACGCTCTTGGTTGACATTGTCGCTGCCGAGTTCGCTCGATGACGTTGACGACCAGCCATAACCTTAAGCTCTGATTATCAAATGATAAGGATCGACTCGCAGAAGGGTACATGGAGCTGAATTGGATAAAACTAGAATCACTCGGAGATCACTCAACAAGATCAACTAGCACCGGAGATTACTCTACAGGTTTTTCAAAGAAGAGCCATGCTCAATTCTCATATCATATCAATATCAACTCTATTCAAATGATGGATTACATGGTTTATTTATACTAGGAACATCCCTCCTAGTTGGGTGTGAACATAGCATAAACAAAAGCAAGTGAAAAGTCTTCTTAGTGGAGTATTTGAGGAGTCTTCATTCATTCTCGCGCAGCCACCAACATCCTGTTCAGTCTCCACCAAAACGGCCATAACTCCTGGCTCGGAAGTCCAAAAGATGCACCGTTTGTTGTGTAGAAATCTAGAATCGTATATCTTTCCAACCATGTAGCATATGAATGCTGAAACCGTAAATATTAATACCAGCAAGCCACCAAAATGGTAATTCTGCATGGTTCTCATGGCCTTATCAGAGGAAGGGAGCTGCGGCCGCCCCGGCCGCGCACGGGCCCTCCCGCTGCGCCGCCACATCCATAGTGACAGAGAGAGGAGAGAGGAAGGGATTTTTTTAGCGATGGATGGAGAGATGGGTGGAGAAGAAGATATTTTTGCTGCTGTTGACCATCGGGAGAGGAACACGTGGAGCAACAGTGAATGAACGGTGAGAGGAAATCTAGACAGCAAAACTAAGATCAGATGATGCAAAATTTTTTTACTGTCGTGGCTACGCCGAGCCTCGCTGCCTTAATAAGAAGAAATTATTTGTAATGAAGCTAGAAACACCACAACACCAATGTAAAGACTGTACCTTCACAAAGGAGACTTGGACAATAGTACAGAACAGTTGTGATATCCCCCATAGTTGGAATATAGACCAACGTGGATCACTTTATAATTACCGGCGGAGATGCTGAGCATCCTTTGAACAGCTTCGAAAGAAGGTTTTTGATGGAATTATCATCTATTTCTGGTGGAATTTCGATTGAGCCGGTTTTTCTTTCGGTTGGGAGTTGTTAGTGGTTTCCTTTCTTGCTTTGGTGTTTCATTTGACCCCGACTGAATTTGCTTTTCTCTCTCTCTTTGCTGAGTTGTGCTTGTAACACCTATATTTGCTTTTTACCTGCCTAATAAAAATTACGATAAAACTCTTGCCATCCTTTAACAAAGCCATCTATAGTGTGGATGTGACAACGCCAAAAGCTCTGTGGCGCGATGCTATTTATCACACATACTCCCTCCGGCCCATTTTATCTGGTGCACACGAATATAAAGATTCAAATTTTGAAAACTTTGACCAATAATTAAGCTAATAATTTTTAACTATTATAATACAAAACTTTATATGATTAGATTTATAAGGAATTATACTATCCAATGATTATAAGTTTATAAGCATAAATAATATAATATAAAGCAAATGAATGGTCAAAGTGTAATTTAGGAGACCGTACCATTTTAAATTAAATCGGATAAAATGGACCGGAGGAAATAATAATAATCCTTTCTTTCATCGCAAAGCAAATTCCATTTATGGGTACCAAAGTATTGCTTGCTCCTATATTATAGAAGATCAGTTGCATGCACAAATTATTGGCGAATTGAAGATTGCACCCATCTCGCCTCAACAGCCCTCCCCCAGCGTGGTCTCCCTCTCCCTCGCTGCGGGAAGCCAATGTGAGAGAGAAAGAACATTCCATTCATTGACAGTATGTAGGTACATGAGCCGAATCACGTACTGATGGTCAAGCAATCCTAACCGATGCCTACAAGCCAGGTTCGGGATCAGCTGAAGAATAGCCGCCGTTTGACACTTTTGAGCTGATCCTATGCTATCTATCTGATGCCGTGCCGGTAGAATAGGCCGCTGACAGCCAAGCGCACCAGCAATGGCCAATGGAGAGGTTAACAAGATTTGCAAAGCTGAAAAAGAGGAGCACGTACCACTCGTGGGGTTAAAACCCCGAGAACGCCGCCTGCCTCCTCGGATCGATCGACCCCAGCGGCGGCGGCGGCGGCGGCGGCCGAGGCGCCAGCGCCGGGTCTCGCGGTGACTGACTTGGCGTGGAGGAACTGGGAAAGCAGCTTGGTTTTCGGGAAGGCGCTGTGATTTGGCCTGAAAAGGAGGAATCTTTCCTTCCTCTTCGCCTTCCTTTGCCGGCTCTTATATCATCGCCCTCATCAGATTGGCGGCCTGTGGTTGCTGCTTCTTTGGCATTTGGCGAAGATGAGGCTCTCCTCGTCGTTCGGCAGCGTCCTTCCGGCTCTGCCGGGCTCGCCGGAAGGTAATCTTCTTCGCCTGCTCTGCTGTCTGCGCCGACTTGAGTTCTCGCTGGTGTCTTGTTCATTAATTAATAATGCTCTTTCCGTTCGTTGTTTCCTCTTCCGTATTAGTTTCAGACTGCTATTTGGTTTCTGTTTGTTCCTAATATAAATGCCTCGCTTTAAAGTTTAAACCTGCTCGGTGGCCGTGTGTGTGTGATCCTGCAGCAGCGACCCAGTGCGACGTGTTTGATTATTTGGGTGGGTTATCTGAATTTGTTTTGATTATTTCTTTTGAAGCCGTGTTACTGTCACGAACTGGAACCGTTTTTTCTTTTGAAGCCTGTCTGTTGATTTCCCGAGTGGTTGGTTGTTTTTTCAATTAAGATGTAAAAAAATAGTTCCCTTGCAGTTCCAGTTTAAGGACACCTAGAAGTTAATAGCCCTTCTTGATTCTCAATTTTATCCACTTATTAGAATTTATATTTTGTACCATCCACTTTCTGAAACTTTTTTTGTTGTTGGCATAAGCACAATGCACATGTCACCAGTTGATATTTCGTTGCTGAAGAAACTTGCAGTATTGAAACTTGTTCTCAAAACAAAACAAATACTTCTGCCATTACAGCTGTGGAGGAGCACAAGTGCCTGAACTCAGAGCTGTGGCATGCCTGTGCCGGCCCGCTTGTTTCCTTGCCCGCAGTGGGTAGCCCGGTTGTGTACTTCCCTCAGGGCCACAGCGAGCAGGTTAGTGCACAAACTCACCATGCCCGTGAATCCTATATATGTCCTCTTTCAGTTTGGTTGTCAAACTCAAACCCCCAATTATCCTCTGCCAGTATTTTCAAGACTCGAAAAATTCTCCCTTTTTTACACTAGCTTTTGGTGAATTCCTGCTGCAGGTAGCAGCGTCCACAAACACGGAAATGGAGTCCCAGATCCCCAATTATCCTAATTTGCTGCCACAGCTTATATGCCAACTGCATAATGTGACGATATATGCATGTAAGTTTGGAGCCTTGGAACACTTTCTACTTAAGCTGAGTAAGTTTAGTTTTGTGTTTCATTATCAGTGTAATTCCCTTTCTTTCAGGCTGATGCAGAGACAGATGAGGTATATGCACAGATGACATTGCAACCACTCAACCCGGTAAATTATATCTTTTTCTGCCTATTTGTGTCATATAACATGCAAACTCCTCTTGGTATCTATGAAGAGTAATTTTTGGCTTGTTTTTTATGCAGCAAGAACTGAAGGACCTATATTTACATGCAGAATTAGGTTCGGCCAATAAACAGCCAACAAAATATTTCTGCAAAACATTAACAGCAAGTGACACAAGAAACATTAGTTGTGGGTTCTCTGTTCCCTGTCGAGCAGCTAGGAAAGTGTTTCCTCCACTGGTATGTGCAACTTCTCTCAAGTTCCAAGTTCATTATTTGTGTTGATTTTGTTGCAGAAAGTGAACTTCTCTCGAGTTTCAAGTTCATTATTTATTTATGTTTCCTCCACATATTGATCTAATTTGCCAAATACTGTGTAGGATTTCACCCAGCAACCTCCATGCCAGGAGTTGATGGCAAAAGATCTTCATGGCAATGACAATGAGTGGAAATTCCGTCACATCTTTCGTGGTAAGCAGTTTTTCATTTTTTTCTTTTAACTCTGCTTGCTGTGCCTTCAATGGTTAGGGCTATTGCATAACCTTCTAAATACCATCCTTAATGCAGGTCAGCCAAAGCGGCATCTTCTAACTACAGGTTTGTCTTTGTAAGTGCAAAGAGACTCGTTGCTGGTGACTCTGTCCTTTTTATCTGGTATGTTCATACTTCCGGCATTCCAAACAATCACTTATCCTCTCTTTTTTTTTTTTGTCTCCATCCCATCAGATAGTTTCTTTTTGGTTGATTTTATATCTCATTGCCTTGTCAGGAATGACAATAACCAGCTTCTGCTGGGAATTCGTTGGGCAAATCGGCCACAAACTGTCATGCCGTCTTCTGTCTTATGCATGCATACCGGTCTTCTTGCTGCAGCTGCTCATGCTGCTTCGACAAATAGCTGGTTTACAATTTTCTACAACCCAAGGTAGAACCTCTGTAATCACTTATTTTTTGGGCGTTTCCTGTCAAACGTTTTAACATTTGCTTTTGCAGGGCAAGCCCTTCAGAGTTTGTCATACCGCTTGCAAAGTATGTTAAGGACTTAAGGCTGTGTATCATACCCCCATATCTGTGGGGATGCGCTTCTGGATGCTTTTGAGACAGAAGAGTCTAGCGTTAGGAGGCAAGTTCAAATCTGTTTGCAAGTTCACCTTATAAGTTTTACCTCTTAGTTCATTTGCCATTTCATTTTCTCTTTCCCTATCAGTTTCCTACACATTGCCTTTGTCTAGTTTTGATGATTACTGCATTCGCCAACAAGATCTATGGCATAGGCCACATGTCAATATACCTCTTTCCTTACAATGAATACTGAATTACCATATATGCAGTCATAGGTGGTATTAGCAGTCTAACCAGATCAAATACATTCAATTCCAGATACATGGGGACAATTACGGGAATCGGTGATCTTGATTCTGTTCGGTGGCCAAATTCACACTGGCGTTCTGTTAAGGTATATTTTTGACCTGTGCTTCTCTTGTTGCCTCTGCCTACTACAAGCCCTTGTCAACCATTTGAGTTGCAAACTTCAGTTGAAAAACGATACTACTCCAGTACTCCCTTAAAGTTTGTTCTCTCAGAGATACCTACTTTATGGTTTTGTATGATCACGAAATTTACCTGTGAATGAATATAGGTTGTCTGGGATGACTCAACTGCTGGTGAGAGACAGCCAAGGGTGTCACAATGGGAGATTGAGCCCCTGACAACTTTCCCAATGTATCCATCTCCTTCTCCGCTCAGGCTCAAGCGTCTACGGCCAACAGGCTTGCCTTCTCTGCATGGTATGAGGTGCAGTTATGTTTAGCTAGCCTTTGTAAATATGTTAGCTTATTTTATAATTTTGCAAATTTTGCAAATGCATGCATTCTATCGCCAATAACCTTTCATGTGATGTCTATCCGTAGGTGGGAAGGATGATGACCTGGCTCACTCTCTTGTGGCTTCGAGATACCGCAAACCCTGGTCTTCAGTCGTTAAATTTTGGTGGATTTGGTATGAACCCTTGGATGCAGCCAAGGCTGGATGCTTCATTACTTGGTCTGCAACCTGACATGTATCAGGCGATGGCCACAGCTGCTTTCCAGGATCCAACGAAGCAGGCATTACCCACAATGCTGCAGTTCCAGCAGCAACAGAACATAGTTGGTCGGGCCACGCCACTTCTTTCAAGTCAGATTCAGGGTCAATCTGAGTTCCTCAAACAGCAGATCCAACGCAGCCAGTCATTCAATGAGCAGAAGCCCCAGCTGCAACCTCAGCAAGAACAACAAGAATCACAGCAGCAGCAGCAATCACAGTGTCTGCAAGTTCCTCAACATCCACAAATGCAACAACAGAACATGACCAACTACCAGTCTGTATCTAATGCATTATCAGCGTTTTTTCAGCTATAGTAGAGAACAGACCTTTCATCCGATGCTAAAATGGGCTCTAGTCCCGGTATTTTTTGCGCCCGGGACTAGAGAGACCTTTAGTCCCGGTTGGTGTTTCCAACCGGGACTAAAGGTCCCTGCCCAACGGCTACTGCGCTCGGCACAGTGGCAGAGGACCTTTAGTCCTGGTTGGAGCCACCAACCGGGATTAAAGGTGGACCTTTACTCCCGGTTGGAGCCACCAACCGGGACTAAAAGTCCTCAACCTTTAGTCTCGGTTGGTAACACCAACCGGGACTAAAGGTCCCCCGATGGGTTAGTTCAAAAGGGAAGCATCACATCTATTGTTAGATGTGTTGTGTAGGTGGGGTGGTAAGCTACGCGCGAGGTAATGCATGGGGTCTTGGGTTCGAATCTCACGGGACGCAGCGGTGGGAGGCATTATTTTTTTTAAAGCTGGGAGGACCTTTAGTCCCAGTTGGTAGTCCCCCTTTAGTCCCGGTTCCTGACCTGGGACTAAAGGACCCCCCTTTAGTCCCGGATGCTTACTCCCGGGTGGGGAACCGGGACTAGAGGGGGTTCCCCACCGGGAGTAAAGCTCTGTTTTCTATCAGTGTGTCGTCAGCCTCTCAGCCTTCACCTATGGCACTGCAAACTATATTACCATTCTCACAGGCACAGAGATTTACAGACACAAATGTAAGCTCATTGTGCTCTTCATGGTCGCCTTTGGACAGCATAACGGAGGATGTGCCATGGACTTCAAGTGGAAGCAGCTTGCGCCTTGTGTGATCAGGCAAATGAGACAACCGACCACCTACTCGCTGAGGGTGTTAGCCTAGTGCTGAACCTCAATGTATCCGGTTACCTAGTATAGCTATTTACTATTCACTGTCATGTAGTTTCAGGTTCCTTGGCAACCAAGTTGATCATGGTGCCTTGGCAACCAAGTAGGAATCATAGCATCTGTTTTATGCAGTTAGAATATGCTAAGGAGTAGGAACATCACTTGCCTATATAAGCAGTGGCTTAAGCATCATCTTGTATCCCAAGTTTTTGCAATTCAATACAACCAAGCGGGCTATGGCCAAGCTGTCCTCTGACAGCCAAATTCCTATTGTGTTCTTGTTTACCTGGGCAACACTCGTTGCCTGCGTTTACAGTCGTGAAGTGTGGTTGCGGCTATTGCATTCAGCGGGGCTGTAGCAGCTAGTGCCTGACTCCACTGCGAGACTGGCCGACTGGGGCTTCGACTCAATGATTCTCCTAGTAACCTGGGGGCTCTGAAAGGAACAGAATCGGCGGACATTCCAGGGGGAACGTCTCTTGCCAGCGCAGCTTGTTCAGTGCGTGATCGACAAAGCTAATGCCTGGGTGGGGGCCGGCATCAGGCCTATGTTGACGTTCATGATGCATGGCGCTTAGCTAGCTTCTTTTACTGCTTCTGTCGCAAATTACTTCCTAGTATAATCAGCTTTTGTAATCTGGTCGTCGTCTTGTGCATTGGCAAGTCGCCAGCCTGCGCAAGATGGTTTGTAAAACTCTAATTTCCCCTTAATGAAACACGTGCTAAGCACGTTGTTGAAAAAAAGAATAAGCTCATTGTCTCCATCCAACGCCAACACCATGCAAAGTACACTGAGGCCATTCTCATCAGAAGCCGTTTCTCACCTCAATATGCCAAGGCCCACTGCGGTACCTGTCCTCGACCCATGGTCATTGAAGCGAGTTGCAGTGGAGTCTTTGCTTCCTTCTCAGCCCCATGTTTCGTCCCAAATGGACCAATTGGACTCTACACCAGCTAGTATACCTCATAGCTCTGCGTTGGCACCACTTCCTAGAAGAGGATGCTTGGTGGATCAAGATGTGAACTCTGATCCTCAAAATCATCTCTTGTTTGGTGTTAGTATAGATTCACAGTCACTGCTAATGCAAGGAGGCATCCCCGGTCTCCAAAATGGGAATGATTCAACTGCTATACCTTATTCCACCTCCAATTTCCTGAGCCCTTCACAGAATGATTTTCCTTTGGATCATACTCTAAATTCTTCAGGCTGCTTAGATGATTCTGGGTATGTGCCACCATGTTCAGATAATTCTGACCAAGTGAACAGACCACCAGCGACCTTCGTGAAGGTGAGTAATTTTTTTACTGGGAATGAAACCATGATTCCTCTGTGAATCGAACTTTATTTATGAACAACACATGTGATTGCTAAAATATTTGACTATTTGCTCACAACAATGGAAATTTGTGCACTGCCAATGCTTACTAGTATTAATCATTATATTGACAGAATATAATGGATAATCATGCAATTAAGATTTTAGAGCATTCTAGTAGAAACAATAGTTTACCTTTTCACAAAAAAAAAGAAACAATAGTTTACCTGTAAGCACTTGATATAAGAATCTAGTCTATGAAAAGTCTCTCTCTCCCATTTATTATTACAAGCACGTACTGGCACTAATCTACACATTTCCTTGCACTTGAATAACAGGTTTACAAATCTGGAACCTACGGAAGGTCGCTTGATATCACTAGGTTTAATAACTATCATGAGCTCCGTTGGGAACTAGGGCGCCTATTTGGCCTTGAGGGCCAGTTGGAAGACCCTTTGAGACCAGGCTGGCAACTTGTATTCGTCCACCGCGAGGAGGATGTCCTTCTCATGGACGATGATCCTTGGCAGTAAGTTCTCATGACCGTCCATCTTGGTGATACATCACTACCGGAAAAACGTCCTTTGCCGAGATCCGAGATTTTTGCCGAGGGCAAAAACACGGGCTCTCGGCGAACACCGGCCGTCGGCAGGTGACAGTATTGCCGTGGGCCTGCATCTCGGCAAGCAACAGCTCTCGGCGAAGTGGGCCGTTTTGCCGAGAGCGGCGCTTGGCAAAAAATGCCCATCGGCAAAACGGTCCTCTGCCGTAGGCCGCGCTCTCGGCAAAATCAGGCTCTCAGCAAAACATTGCCGCGGGCCCATAGCCGTGACCCTGACGACATCACCGCTTTGCCGAGAGCCCCTCCGTTACTGCTCTCGGCAAAACTCTTTGCCGAGCGCCGCTCTCGGCAAATATTTGCCGAGAGCCCCTCCCAGGCTCTCGGCAAATGTGGTTTCTATATTTCATGTGCATGTGTTTCTCTTCTCCTAACTCTCTCCAATTAAATTATTTTTTCTTTCATATACTCCAAACTTTTTTCTCTATAGACATACTACAGGTTGTACTCAATATTAAAATTTTGTGTATTTTTGTAATTATTTGCTATATATAATTAATTAATTGCATTTCAAGGAGTTTTTTTAATCGATTAAAATTTGAACAGCGATTGATTTAAACACGGGAAAAAATTAAGTAGAAAATGATATTCATGCTATTTATGCATTATTGAGGGCAAATAACATCTTGTTGACGTTTTTTTTCACCTTTTATTTTACGAATCGAAGACCACGAACATATGTCGCCCAACGATTTAAAAATTCTTAAAAAGGGAAATGAAGTCGGAAAATTGTGATATTTGCAATGAAGTCATGGTATCACACTTGGAGGCTGTGGTAAAAAATTGAAAATGTTTCGCACAAGTGGTTGCGTATGATTCTTACAATCTGAGACATCTCCGAATAAGTTTCATAAAGTTGAGAAGGATCCATTAGGATTTTCAAACAATGTCACGGTCGAATTAGTTTTGGAGTTCTAAACTTTTTGTATAGCCATTAGAGAGCATAAGTTGTAACACGACAAAATTTCGTATTTTTCCAGAGCAGTTTGCTGTTTATTAATTTTTTTTGGATATTATTTGCCGAGAGCTTCAGGGGATTGCTCTTGGCAAAGGCTCTTTGCCGAGAGCAACAAGGCCCGCTCTCGGCGCAGATTTCTTTTTTTTTACCTAGCCTGGATCAATGGTTTGCCGAGAGCTGCTCTCGGAAAAGATTTAATTTTTTTTAGAAATATCATTTTTTGTTCAGTTTGCCGAGAGCTACTATCGGCAAATAATAATTTTTATTTTTTTTTTAATATTTTTTTGTGCAGTTAGCTAGTTAAAAAATTCGAACGAAATTTGAAAAAAAAAATTACTTTACCGAGAGCCGGATCTAGGAGCTCTCGGCAAAGGGGGAAGGTTTGCCGAGAGCCTCCCAGATCTGGCTCTTGGCAAAGTGGCTTCAGACACTTAACCGTTTCGGCGGCTTATCTCTCTCACTCTTCACGCACACACTCACACAGCCGCCGCCGCGAGGAGCGCCGCCCAATGGCATCCTGGGTCTTCTCTACAGGGAACACTTCCCAGGCTTGGTTCGCTACGCCGAAGCTCTGGAGCCAGTCTACACGTACGAGCACTACGTCGCCGCCCCTGATGCGGAGGATGAGACGGGCCGCACGTACGAAAGCGTGGCGGAGCGGGTTATGTGCGAGTTTTGGGTAAGTCTTCCTCCCACTACTTTGCTCAATACATTGCATTCGTTAGAGTTTCTTGAACCAGTGTATTGATACATCTTTTCTATATGCAGGACTTCTTCAAATGCGCCGAGGGCTACGAGGCGAGGGCGGCCAAGGCGTTGGCCAAATCTTTTAGAGGTCGCATCTCAGACATGCATTACGAGGCGCGGCTCCAGGCCATCATCGATTACTGTGCCGTCTACGAGCATCGAAAGGTAAAGAAAGAAGATGCAAGATAAATGCATCGACCAAAGAGCGATACTGAAGGTAAATATACAACATCAATATTGATTTCTTCCGAGATTGGGTAGGCTTGAATTGTTCTTATATCCGCCAATGTACTTGATGTCGTCAGGTGCCTCTGGCTGCGCGCCGCCAATAAAACGCTGAACTGGCGGATGATGGTCGACAGTGGGTGAGTGGCAATTGGGCGGATAACCACACCGTCCTCCGGGAACGACGTTTGTTGATGCCAGTGTATCACACCACCGTGGCAACCTTAACATCCATGAATTCGGGGCTAGATGGAGTACGTGACTTGGTGTAGCTTCATTTATTCTTTTAGACGTTTATTCCTGCATGATTTATAATCGTCTTGTTGTTTTTCTCGCAGTCGGCTGCACATCAAAACCAGCCATGCGGAGAGCTCAAGTCATGGGTTCTGGCCCACAAGGGCAAGGCGACAGACAACATCAATCGGAACCGGGACGACCCGTAAATGAAGTCGTTCACTGCGAGAGCATCCCGGCGCGCATCAGTTAGTACACCGAGGCGGCAAGGGGAGTCCATGGGGCAGACTGGGATCCGCACACTGCGGACATTGATGGCGAGATCGTCATGAGGGTGGGAGGAGGCAATAAACATGGGCGGTACCTCATCGGCAACAACACGCTCGACCCGCACACCACTCCCACTCTCTCACAGGTCCGGACAAGCAGCACGAGCGGTAGCGTGCCCATACGTCCAAGGCAGGACACTTCGATGCATCGTGTGGCAGCACTACAGGTTATTTCTATTTTATTCATCGTTCATTGGTTTTACATTCCTCGAAATTGCTTGTAATAATGCGGTGAAAAATTATAGGCCCAGGTGCATGCGCTCGAGGAGCATAAGGCTAGGGTGGAGGAAGAGCGATAGAGGGAGCGGGAGGCCGAGCGACAGAGGTGGGAGGCCGAGCGGGCGAGGTTTGACGCCTTGGCTCAGTACGTGGCAAGTCTTGGCGTCACGATGGGTAGTCCAGCGCCACTAGAGCTGTTCGCTCTTCCACCGCCTTACCATACCCACCTTACTCATACGTGAGTTCAACTTCTCTAACAAAAGCTCTTTACTGTGCATGTCGGCCATCGTGCCGTTGATATGTGATGGGAGGCCTTCGTGCCGTTGATATATATATGTGCCGGCTATCGTGCCGTTGATATGTGGTGGGCGGCCATCGTGCCGTTGGTTTTCTTGTAGGTTTTGGAAACCCCACCGTGCAGGGGAGGTGCTGCCGAAATTTTGATGTGTCTAGGCTTAGATTACAATTTTATACCTAGTTCTGCAAATTTTGACTTGTCTACGCTTAGATTACAATTATATGCCTTAGTATTACTATAATTACTAAATTTTCTTCTCCTTTGTGCAGAATCAATCGGCGGGTTCGAATGATGTGCCTGAGCTGCCGTCGTCGGGAGGGTCGTGGCACCAACCATATCCACAACTTCCGCCGCATCAGCAGCCCTCGGGAGGGTCAGCGTACCAGCCGTATCCACACCTTCCGCCGCAGCAGCAGCCGCCGTCGGGAGGGTGGGAGCCTTGGGGGTGAGCCTGTTGTTCTTCATCATGTATTAGCACTTTGTGACATGAACTTGTGTGAGATGAACTTAGCACTTTGAGATGGACATGTGTTGTTGGATTTGAGATGTTTAGATGGATTATAATGTGAGACATGTGATGTGGATGACATATTTGTGATATATGTGATGTGGATGATGTGTTATATTTGTGAAATATGTGTTGTTGAAGCTGGAAATATAAACAAAAATAAAAAAAATGCTTTCTGGACTCTTTGCCGAGAGTAGGGCTCTCGGCAAATCTACCTCTTTGCCGAGAGCCTAGCTCTCGGCAAATCTGCCTCTTTGCCGAGAGCTTGGTGGTCGGCTCTCGGCAAACCTATTTTTTTTTTGAAAACCACCTCGGCCGCAAATCTGTTTTTTAACAATTCTTTGCCGACGGTCGCTCTCGGCAAAGAAGCTGTCACACCGTTAGCGGTCGTTTGGCCGTTACTAGGGCGCGCCAGTTTGCCGAGAGCTAGAGTTTGCCGAGAGCCTTGCCATTACTCTCGGTAAATATTTTGCCGAGAGGGGCTCTCGGTAAAGAATCCTTTGCCGGTAGATGTTTTGCCGACGGCTCTTTGCCGAGAGCTGCTCTCGGCAAATAGTTTGCCGAGCGTCAACTCGTCTTTGGGCTCTCGGCAAAGGCCGGGAGTCCGGTAGTGCATGCTGATCAATTTCATTTGGTTTTCCATCCACACTCTTCCTTACATTGCTGCCTGCCCGTTACAACCTGAAGGGAATTCGTGAGTACGGTGTCCTGCATAAAGATACTCTCACCGCAGGAGGTGCAGCAGATGGGCAAGCAGGGCCTAGGGCTCTTGAGCTCGGGCCCGCGAGGAGGTTAGGTAACAGCAGTGACGACTATGTGGACGACTCTATGTTTTGGTTCGTAAGTTAGTCAGAAATTTTAGGTAGCATGTTTAAGTTAGTTAGTATGGGTTAATTGTCTATATTATTATTAATTGTTTAGATTAGAGATGAAGGCAATTGGATATGTTTTCTTACAACAGAGGGAGTCGGATGAGACCGATGATATCACACAAAGGGTTGAGAATCTATGTTAGAATCTGATACCCCTAATTATGCGTAACTGCAGCTAGGCCTGCTAAGGTGCCCAGCACGCACCATCACCGGCCTAGCCAGAATCAATGGTAAATGATTCAGGTGGGGATCTTTCATCCCCAGGTGTCCCCCCAGCCCCCCCAAAAAAAAAAAGGATTCAGAAATGATATTGCGAGTAACTAAGTACAATACAAGCTTGCGCCATATAAGAACAATGCAGATGTACCTCATAGAAAACAACCTTACATGATGGGGCGTTGAGCAACCACAACACAAAGTTGTTTAAAGAACAGCTCCAAAACAATATGAGTGATCTCACAACCATTTAGGACCCAGATTCTTGCCCTATATATATAAGAATATAATGCCCTATAATACATTGT